CGCCAAAGGCGGGTGCTCCGGAGGAGCCCACCACGGCTTGCTGGGGGAAGGAGCTGAGGATGGGGCCGGGGAAGGTGACGACGACGGGCGGTGGCTGGATGAAGGCCGTCGAGTCGGGGCACTGGCGCGCGCACAGCTCGTTGCAGCTCTCAGCGATGGGCTGGGGCACGGCGACGCTGGTTTTTGGTGGGCACAGGTCGTAGCAAGACATCTTGGTGTGATGGGATGGAGCTCTGCAAGAGGGCAGACAGTGTCACACAGCAGCAGATGGCAACAGCTCTAGCACAGGGGCCTGAAGCTGCCCTTAGTGAAGGACAGGAGAAGTGCTCTTGGACTTACCCTGTTCCCAAGGAGAAGGAGGCCAGAGCAGTGCTTGGAAGAGCTCCCCTCAGTCCCAGCTTTTATGCAGGCTGGGCCTTGCTCATCAGCCTCTGGGCCAATGGGCAGAGGTGTCACTCCCTGAGGCCGAGGCCAGGCTGGCCTGCTACTGCCCTCCTGACTCAGCAGCCCATGGTCAAACCAGAACAGGCCACTTGTCCGCCTTCCTTCTTCTTTCTGCTCCATAGGCCAAATGCGGGGTGCTGAGCAGGCAATGACCGAGAGGAGTGCCTTTGATTTGGTGTCACTTTACCTCACCCATCTGCAGATAACAACTGCGATGCGTTTGTCACTCAGATGCTGGCATGCAGGTGGCCTGGGAAATACCTTCCACTTGCGCAGTGCTGTGCCCGGCTCATCCCTGAGGCTCTGCACAGCTGCCATGAGGACACAGCAAAAGCAAGCCCTTGGGCAAGAGCTGTGCCATGCAAGGAACTGCCACTCAGCATTTGTTATGCACCCCGCCATCCCATCTTACACAGGCCGAGGATGAGAGGGCAGCAGGCCTAATTTGCCCATCAGCAGAGGGCTTGCCAGCTACCAAGCAGGCTAATTGTAGGGGCTGAGTGAGCGGGTGGGGGCTGCTGAGGAAACAGCGTCAGCTAAACAGACCCATGGAACGCACGTGGGAGATTGGGGTTTGGCTACTGATAGCCACGTGCCCCCACCACAGCCAGCTCCTCCCCGTCTTCACCAGCCCCCATAAAAGCACTGCCCTGTGTGAGCACCAGTATCCACCACTGCTTCCTGGCTCAGCTTGGGAAAAGAGTGAGTGACTGGCCCTCCCCTTGGCTGGTCCTTGGGTGGATCACTGGGGCAGGGGAGCAGGATGCTGTGGGGGTGGTTATGGCCCTACAACAGTGACAGAGGCTATGGACCCTGCTGCATGTAGAGCAGTCCCTGGTCACTCACTTGGTTCTGCTAGGGCATCGCCAATGTTATAGCTCCTCTTCTTGTGGCTTTCATTGCAGGCTCAGCTCTCTCACACCAAGATGTCTTGCTACGACCTGTGCCCACCAAAAACCAGCGTCGCCGTGCCCCAGCCCATCGCTGAGAGCTGCAACGAGCTGTGCGCGCGCCAGTGCCCCGACTCGACGGCCTTCATCCAGCCACCGCCCGTCGTCGTCACCTTCCCCGGCCCCATCCTCAGCTCCTTCCCCCAGCAAGCCGTGGTGGGCTCCTCCGGAGCACCCGCCTTTGGCGGCTCCCTGGGGCTGGGGGGCCTCTACGGCGCCGGGGCCACTCAGGGCTCAGCCGGCCTCTGCACCTTTGGCAGACCCTACGCTTCTCCTGCCTGCAGCCCCTGCGCCTTGCCCCGCTACAGCAGGAAGCTCTGGAACACCTGCGGGCCCTGCTAAACCCAGATGCAAGACCCTTCACCACTTCATTCCTCATCCTCTCTGCTAATTTGTAAGGCCCACTGTGTCTTTTACAGCCCTGAACTGGGCCCTGCGCTGTCCGCTGACTTGAAGATGCCTTCGGAAACACTTCTTTTGAAGCCCTTGGCACTACTTCCTGCCTTGGACTCTAGTATGTCTTTGATGTTGTGTCCTTTCCTGTCTTTACAATAAAAGTAATATGCATCCGGTGTTTGAATCTTGGGCTTTTCTTCCTTTGCACAATGGCCGCCCCAGGGCTCCCTTCTGCCACGCATGGTCCCTCGGTCTGGCCCAGAACAAGCTCTCAGCCACCTGCCAAGACAGGCTGTGTTTTCTCTGGTCAAAGGCCCTGGCCACACCAGCTCCGGCTCACACTCTATTGTTGCCCATCTACACAAGCCCTGCCTGAATGCAGGATTCTCCGTCTCCAGCAGGAAATGCAGCCCCAGGGTATCTGAGAACTGCAGTCCTCCCTCCTGCCGATCCTCCCCAGCTCCCATGGCCTCAGCAATATCCCCTCCATGCCCAATCTGAAGGCTCAGATTGAGTTGTGAGGCAACTTCTAGAAGATCATCCTCTGCAAGTGCGTGTTCAAGCTGTTCCTCCAACAGCCACTTCACACAATCTTTGGGTACCATAAAACCAAAGGGAATCCATCCTGAAGATAAAGGCTCCAACACTCAACAGCACAGTTTGAAACTTTCTTCCTGGACTTTGACCACACTATTGCCCTGGAGAGCATCTGTACTTGTCCATCCTCTCATTGGAGAGAAAGGTTCCTAACACTATACTTTGGTAAAATTGCCTTCATGAAGACTTAATCCTTTCCCTCACACCCCATTCTTTGCCATAGCTCAACACCAAACTGAACTTCTAACAAATTATAGAGGGTACCGTCAAAAATGCTTCTGGTAAATAGCAGACATTTCTTATTATCTCCCCTTCTATCTTACTTTAAAGCTTCTGTCACTGAGATCTCCAGCTACTAAGGCCATAGACTTCCTAAACTGCATTCAATCGTAGCCTACATTCAGACGTTCCCTCAAAGATCGCAAGTGACTCAATCAGTCCACAGAGGAAAAAGAGGATGCAGCGACGTCCCTGACCTCAGTGGGATCTGAGCTTCATGTCACACAGACCCACCTAGAACTCCCTGCTGCTAAGTATTAGATCCAGTGATTCACCCCGTTCTAGAACAAGTGCTCACCATCTATCCTGTGATCCCAGCATGTCCGCCTGGATACCACTGATGACTTTGATTTGCGGGACACCGGTAGGCTGACTTTGAATGGGTGTCAGCACATCCTGATACCAGAAAGATCAAGACAGGTGTTGCATGCTCAGCCTCCTTCCAGGTAATGGCTGATGCCATCCACATTCCCAATGATCACAGCCTCGGGGCACATTTGAGGCTCATGCTCCACTTCTGCAGCCACCTGCTCACGTGGGTTGCAGTAAGGTTGTTTTCCAGCTATGAACTGTCAGTGCAATAAGCAAGGGTAGTAGTTGCCAGTGACCACACTCCAGCCTCCCCTGAGCTTTGAGCCAGAGATCATGCAGTGTGTCTACAGAGCAGCATGACTTGGCAGAGCTGGTGCCACTGCAGAGCTGAGGAGGATGGGAGGATGGGCAAGGGAGCGCGGTCAGCACCAGCCTGCTCTCTGTCCCTCCCACAGCTTCACCAAAATGCCCCCCCCTCCCATATCTGCTGCAAAAACTCCCACAGCGCAAATGAATAACTGGCATTCTCATCAGCAGGACATACCGTACCCAAACTCTCACAAAACAACCCGGTCCTTCCCTGAAACAACATGAAAGAGAGGGAGAAGGCATTTGTGAATGCAGGAAAACTTTATTGTTCCCAGATCAGCTGGAGATGGCAATAGAGAAAAAAAGGCCGGTCAGACTCAGGTTGAAGTCCATGGAAAAAGAGGAATTGGCAGGAGATGAGGGCAAAGCAAGCAATGGTGCCAGCACTGCCAGTGGCTCAGGCCTCAGTTGCAGCTGGAGATGCTCAGCACTCCTCAACACTCCAGGCCCAGGCATTCAGGAATGAGTGGATGCTAGTGTTGGTGGGAGCAGGCAGGGCCTGAGTTTAGCAGGGCCCACAGGTGTCCCAGAGCTTCCTGCTGTAGCGGGGCAAGGCGCAGGGGCTGCAGGCAGGAGAAGCGTAGGGTCTGCCAAAGGTGCAGAGGCCGGCCGAGCCCTGAGTGGCCCCGGCGCCGTAGAGGCCCCCCAGCCCCAGGGAGCCGCCAAAGGCGGGTGCTCCGGAGGAGCCCACCACGGCTTGCTGGGGGAAGGAGCTGAGGATGGGGCCGGGGAAGGTGACGACGACGGGCGGTGGCTGGATGAAGGCCGTCGAGTCGGGGCACTGGCGCGCGCACAGCTCGTTGCAGCTCTCAGCGATGGGCTGGGGCACGGCGACGCTGGTTTTTGGTGGGCACAGGTCGTAGCAAGACATCTTGGTGTGATGGGATGGAGCTCTGCAAGAGGGCAGACAGTGTCACGCAGCAGCAGATGGCAACAGCTCTGGCACAGGGGCCTGAAGCTGTCCTTAGTGATGGGCAGGAGAATTGCTCTTGGACTTACCCTGTTCCCAAGGAGAAGGAGGCCAGAGCAGTGCTTGGAAGAGCTCCCCTCAGTCCCAGCTTTTATCCAGGCTGGGCCTTGGCTCATCAGCCTCTGGGCCAATGGGCAGAGGTGTCACTCCCTGAGGCTGAAGCCAGGCTGGCCTGCTACTGCCCTCCTGACTCAGCAGCCCATGGTCAGACCAGAACAGGCCACTTGTCCGCCTTCCTTCTTCTTTCTGCTCCATAGGCCAAATGCGGGGTGCTGAGCAGGCAATGACCGAGAGGAGTGCCTTTGATTTGGTGTCACTTTACCTCACCCATCTGCAGATAACAACTGCAATGCGTTTGTCACTCAGATGCTGGCATGCAGGTGGCCTGGGAAATACCTTCCACTTGCCCAGTACTGTGCCCGGCTCATCCCTGAGGCTCTGCACAGCTGCCATGAGGACACAGCAAAAGCAAGCCCTTGGGCAAGAGCTGTGGCATGCAAGGAACTGCCACTCAGCATTTGTTATGCACCCCGCCATCCCATCTTACACAGGCCGAGGATGAGAGGGCAGCAGGCCTAATTTGCCCATCAGCAGAGGGCTTGCCAGCTACCAAGCAGGCTAATTGTAGGGGCTGAGTGAGCGGGTGGGGGCTGCTGAGGAAACAGCGTCAGCTAAACAGACCCATGGAACGCACGTGGGAGATTGGGGTTTGGCTACTGATAGCCACGTGCCCCCACCACAGCCAGCTCCTCCCCGTCTTCACCAGCCCCCATAAAAGCACTGCCCTGTGTGAGCACCAGTATCCACCACTGCTTCCTGGCTCAGCTTGGGAAAAGGGTGAGTGACTGGCCCTCCTTTGGCTGGTCCTTGGGTAGATCACTGGGGCAGGGGAGCAGGATGCTGTGGGGGTGGCTATGGCCCTACAACAGTGACAGAGGCTATGGACCTGCTGCATGTAGAGCAGTCCCTGGTCACTCACTTGGTTCTGCTAGGGCATCGCCAATGTTATAGCTCCTCTTCTTGTGGCTTTCATTGCAGGCTCAGCTCTCTCACACCAAGATGTCTTGCTACGACCTGTGCCCACCAAAAACCAGCGTCGCCGTGCCCCAGCCCATCGCTGAGAGCTGCAACGAGCTGTGCGCGCGCCAGTGCCCCGACTCGACGGCCTTCATCCAGCCACCGCCCGTCGTCGTCACCTTCCCCGGCCCCATCCTCAGCTCCTTCCCCCAGCAAGCCGTGGTGGGCTCCTCCGGAGCACCCGCCTTTGGCGGCTCCCTGGGGCTGGGGGGCCTCTACGGCGCCGGGGCCACTCAGGGCTCGGCCGGCCTCTGCACCTTTGGCAGACCCTACGCTTCTCCTGCCTGCAGCCCCTGCGCCTTGCCCCGCTACAGCAGGAAGCTCTGGAACACCTGCGGGCCCTGCTAAACCCAGATGCAAGACCCTTCACCACTTCATTCCTCATCCTCTCTGCTAATTTGTAAGGCCCACTGTGTCTTTTACGGCCCTGAACTGGGCCCTGCGCTGTCCGCTGACTTGAAGATGTCTTCAGAAACACTTCTTTTGAAGCCCTTGGCACTACTTCCTGCCTTGGACTCTACTATGTCTTTGATGTTGTGTCCTTTCCTGTCTTTACAATAAAAGTAATATGCATCCAATGTTTGAATCTTGGGCTTTTCTTCCTTAGCACAATGGCCGCCCCAGGGCTCCCTTCTGCCACGCATGGTCCCTCGGTCTGGCCCAGAACAAGCTCTCAGCCGCCTGCCAAGACAGGCTGTGTTTCCACTGGTCAAAGGCCCTGGCCACACCAGCTCCAGCTCACACTCTACTGTTGCCCATCTGCACAAGCCCTGCCTGAATGCAGGATTCTCCCTTTCCAGCAGGAAATGCAGCCCCAGGGTATCTGAGAACTGCAGTCCTCCCTCCTGCCGATCCTCCCCAGCTCCCATGGCCTCAGCAATATCCCCTCCATGCCCAATCTGAAGGCTCAGATTGAGTTGTGAGGCAACTTCTAGAAGATCATCCTCTGCAAGTGCGTGTTCAAGCTGTTCCTCCAACAGCCACTTCACACAATCTTTGGGTACCATAAAACCAAAGGGAATCCATCCTGAAGATAAAGGCTCCAACACTCAACAGCACAGTTTGAAACTTTCTTCCTGGACTTTGACCACACTATTGCCCTGGAGAGCATCTGTACTTGTCCATCCACTCTTTGCAGAGACTATTCCTGACACTATACTTAGGTAAAATTGCCTTCATGAAGACTTAATCCTTTCCCTCACACCCCATTCTTTGCCATAGCTCAACACCAAACTGAATTTCTAACAAATTATAGAGGGTACCGTCAAAAATGCTTCTGGTAAATAGCAGACATTTCTTATTATCTCCCCTTCTATCTTACTTTAAAGCTTCTGTCAATGAGATCTCCAGCTACTAAGGCCATAGGCTTCCTAAACTGCATTCAATCGTAGCCTAGATTCAGACGTTCCCTCAAAGATCGCAAGTGACTCAATCAGTCCACAGAGGAAAAAGAGGATGCAGCGACGTCCCTGACCTCAGTGGGATCTGAGCTTCATGTCACACAGACCCACCTAGAACTCCCTGCTGCTAAGTATTAGATCCAGTGATTCACCCCGTTCTAGAACAAGTGCTCACCATCTATCCTGTGATCCTAGCATGTCCGCCTGGATGCCACTGATGACTTTGATTCACGGGACACCGGTAGGCTGACTTTGAATGGCTGGCAGCACATCCTGATACCAGAAAGATGAAGACAGGTGTTGCATGCTCAGCCTCCTTCCAGGTAATGGCTGATGCCATCCACATTCCCAACAATCACAGCCTCGGGGCACATTTGAGGCTCATGCTCCACTTCTGCAGCCACCTGCTCACGTAGGTTGCAGTAAGGTTGTTTTCCAGCTATGAACTGTCAGTACAATAATCAAGGGCAGTAGTTGCCAGTGACCACACTCCAGCCTCCCCTCAGCTTTGAGCCAGAGATCATGCAGTGTGTCTACAGAGCAGCATGACTTGGCAGAGCTGGTGCCACTGCAGAGCTGCGGAGGATGGGCAAGGGAGCGCGGTCAGCACCACCCTGCTCTCTGTCCCTTCCACAGCTTCACCAAAATGCCCCCCCTCCCATATCTACTGCAAACACTCCCACAGCACAAATGAAAACCTGGGATTGTCATCAGCAGGACATACCGTACCCAAACTCTCACAAAACAACCCGGTCCTTCTCTGAAACAACATGAAAGAGAGGGAGAAGGCATTTGTGAATGCAGGAAAACTTTATTGTTCCCAGATCAGCTGGAGATGGCAATAGAGAAAAAAAGGCCGGTCAGACTCAGGTTGAAGTCCATGGAAAAAGAGGAATGGGCAGGAGATGAGGGCAAAGCAAGCAAAGGTGCCAGCACTGCCAGTGGCTCAGGCCTCAGTTGCAGCTGGAGATGCTCAGCACTCCTCAACACTCCAGGCCCAGGCATTCAGGAATGAGTGGATGCTAGTGTTGGAGGGAGCAGGCAGGGCCTGAGTTTAGCAGGGCCCACAGGTGTCCCAGAGCTTCCTGCTGTAGCGGGGCAAGGCGCAGGGGCTGCAGGCAGGAGAAGCGTAGGGTCTGCCAAAGGTGCAGAGGCCGGCCGAGCCCTGAGTGGCCCCGGCGCCGTAGAGGCCCCCCAGCCCCAGGGAGCCGCCAAAGGCGGGTGCTCCGGAGGAGCCCACCACGGCTTGCTGGGGGAAGGAGCTGAGGATGGGGCCGGGGAAGGTGACGACGACGGGCGGTGGCTGGATGAAGGCCGTCGAGTCGGGGCACTGGCGCGCGCACAGCTCGTTGCAGCTCTCAGCGATGGGCTGGGGCACGGCAACGCTGGTTTTTGGTGGGCACAGGTCGTAGCAAGACATCTTGGTGTGATGGGATGGAGCTCTGCAAGAGGGCAGACAGTGTCACATAGCAGCAGATGGCAACAGCTCTGGCACAGGGGCCTGAAGCTGTCCTTAGTGATGGGCAGGAGAATTGCTCTTGGACTTACCCTGTTCCCAAGGAGAAGGAGGCCAGAGCAGTGCTTGGAAGAGCTCCCCTCAGTCCCAGCTTTTATCCAGGCTGGGCCTTGGCTCATCAGCCTCTGGGCCAATGGGCAGAGGTGTCACTCCCTGAGGCTGAAGCCAGGCTGGCCTGCTCCTGCCCTCCTGACTCAGCAGCCCATGGTCAGACCAGAACAGGCCACTTGTCCGCCTTCCTTCTTCTTTCTGCTCCATAGGCCAAATGCGGGGTGCTGAGCAGGCAATGACCGAGAGGAGTGCCTTTGATTTGGTGTCACTTTACCTCACCCATCTGCAGATAACAACTGCAATGCGTTTGTCACTCAGATGCTGGCATGCAGGTGGCCTGGGAAATACCTTCCACTTGCCCAGTACTGTGCCCGGCTCATCCCTGAGGCTCTGCACAGCTGCCATGAGGACACAGCAAAAGCAAGCCCTTGGGCAAGAGCTGTGGCATGCAAGGAACTGCCACTCAGCATTTGTTATGCACCCCGCCATCCCATCTTACACAGGCCGAGATGAGAGGGCAGCAGGCCTAATTTGCCCATTAGCAGAGGGCTTGCCAGCTACCAAGCAGGCTAATTGTAGGGGCTGAGTGAGCGGGTGGGGGCTGCTGAGGAAACAGCGTCAGCTAAACAGACCCATGGAACGCACGTGGGAGATTGGGGTTTGGCTACTGATAGCCACGTGCCCCCACCACAGCCAGCTCCTCCCCGTCTTCACCAGCCCCCATAAAAGCACTGCCCTGTGTGAGCACCAGTATCCACCACTGCTTCCTGGCTCAGCTTGGGAATACGGTGAGTGACTGGCCCTCCTTTGGCTGGTCCTTGGGTAGATCACTGGGGCAGGGGAGCAGGATGCTGTGGGGGTGGCTATGGCCCTACAACAGTGACAGAGGCTATGGACCTGCTGCATGTAGAGCAGTCCCTGGTCACTCACTTGGTTCTGCTAGGGCATCGCCAATGTTATAGCTCCTCTTCTTGTGGCTTTCATTGCAGGCTCAGCTCTCTCACACCAAGATGTCTTGCTACGACCTGTGCCCACCAAAAACCAGCGTCGCCGTGCCCCAGCCCATCGCTGAGAGCTGCAACGAGCTGTGCGCGCGCCAGTGCCCCGACTCGACGGCCTTCATCCAGCCACCGCCCGTCGTCGTCACCTTCCCCGGCCCCATCCTCAGCTCCTTCCCCCAGCAAGCCGTGGTGGGCTCCTCCGGAGCACCCGCCTTTGGCGGCTCCCTGGGGCTGGGGGGCCTCTACGGCGCCGGGGCCACTCAGGGCTCGGCCGGCCTCTGCACCTTTGGCAGACCCTACGCTTCTCCTGCCTGCAGCCCCTGCGCCTTGCCCCGCTACAGCAGGAAGCTCTGGAACACCTGCGGGCCCTGCTAAACCCAGATGCAAGACCCTTCACCACTTCATTCCTCATCCTCTCTGCTAATTTGTAAGGCCCACTGTGTCTTTTACGGCCCTGAACTGGGCCCTGCGCTGTCCGCTGACTTGAAGATGTCTTCAGAAACACTTCTTTTGAAGCCCTTGGCACTACTTCCTGCCTTGGACTCTACTATGTCTTTGATGTTGTGTCCTTTCCTGTCTTTACAATAAAAGTAATATGCATCCAATGTTTGAATCTTGGGCTTTTCTTCCTTTGCACAATGGCCGCCCCAGGGCTCCCTTCTGCCACGCATGGTCCCTCGGTCTGGCCCAGAACAAGCTCTCAGCCGCCTGCCAAGACAGGCTGTGTTTCCACTGGTCAAAGGCCCTGGCCACACCAGCTCCAGCTCACACTCTACTGTTGCCCATCTGCACAAGCCCTGCCTGAATGCAGGATTCTCCCTTTCCAGCAGGAAATGCAGCCCCAGGGTATCTGAGAACTGCAGTCCTCCCTCCTGCCGATCCTCCCCAGCTCCCATGGCCTCAGCAATATCCCCTCCATGCCCAATCTGAAGGCTCAGATTGAGTTGTGAGGCAACTTCTAGAAGATCATCCTCTGCAAGTGCGTGCTCAAGCTGTTCCTCCAACAGCCACTTCACACAATCTTTGGGTACCATAAAACCAAAGGGAATCCATCCTGAAGATAAAGGCTCCAACACTCAACAGCACAGTTTGAAACTTTCTTCCTGGACTTTGACCACACTATTGCCCTGGAGAGCATCTGTACTTGTCCATCCACTCTTCGCAGAGACTATTCCTAACACTATACTTAGGTAAAATTGCCTTCATGAAGACTTAATCCTTTCCCTCACACCCCATTCTTTGCCATAGCTCAACACCAAACTGAATTTCTAACAAATTATAGAGGGTACCGTCAAAAATGCTTCTGGTAAATAGCAGACATTTCTTATTATCTCCCCTTCTATCTTACTTTAAAGCTTCTGTCAATGAGATCTCCAGCTACTAAGGCCATAGGCTTCCTAAACTGCATTCAATCGTAGCCTAGATTCAGACGTTCCCTCAAAGATCGCAAGTGACTCAATCAGTCCACAGAGGAAAAAGAGGATGCAGCGACGTCCCTGACCTCAGTGGGATCTGAGCTTCATGTCACACAGACCCACCTAGAACTCCCTGCTGCTAAGTATTAGATCCAGTGATTCACCCCGTTCTAGAACAAGTGCTCACCATCTATCCTGTGATCCTAGCATGTCCGCCTGGATGCCACTGATGACTTTGATTCGCGGGACACCGGTAGGCTGACTTTGAATGGCTGGCAGCACATCCTGATACCAGAAAGATCAAGACAGGTGTTGCATGCTCAGCCTCCTTCCAGGTAATGGCTGATGCCATCCACATTCCCAACAATCACAGCCTCGGGGCACATTTGAGGCTCATGCTCCACTTCTGCAGCCACCTGCTCACGTAGGTTGCAGTAAGGTTGTTTTCCAGCTATGAACTGTCAGTGCAATAAGCAAGGGCAGTAGTTGCCAGTGACCACACTCCAGCCTCCCCTCAGCTTTGAGCCAGAGATCATGCAGTGTGTCTACAGAGCAGCATGACTTGGCAGAGCTGGTGCCACTGCAGAGCTGCGGAGGATGGGCAAGGGAGCGCGGTCAGCACCACCCTGCTCTCTGTCCCTTCCACAGCTTCACCAAAATGCCCCCCCTCCCATATCTACTGCAAACACTCCCACAGCACAAATGAAAACCTGGCATTCTCATCAGCAGGACATACCGTACCCAAACTCTCACAAAACAACCCGGTCCTTCTCTGAAACAACATGAAAGAGAGGGAGAAGGCATTTGTGAATGCAGGAAAACTTTATTGTTCCCAGATCAGCTGGAGATGGGGACAGAGAAAAAAAGGCCGGTCAGACTCAGGTTGAAGTCCATGGAAAAAGAGGAATGGGCAGGAGATGAGGGCAAAGCACGCAAAGGTGCCAGCACTGCCAGTGGCTCAGGCCTCAGTTGCAGCTGGAGATGCTCAGCACTCCTCAACACTCCAGGCCCAGGCATTCAGGAATGAGTGGATGCTAGTGTTGGAGGGAGCAGGCAGGGCCTGAGTTTAGCAGGGCCCACAGGTGTCCCAGAGCTTCCTGCTGTAGCGGGGCAAGGCGCAGGGGCTGCAGGCAGGAGAAGCGTAGGGTCTGCCAAAGGTGCAGAGGCCGGCCGAGCCCTGAGTGGCCCCGGCGCCGTAGAGGCCCCCCAGCCCCAGGGAGCCGCCAAAGGCGGGTGCTCCGGAGGAGCCCACCACGGCTTGCTGGGGGAAGGAGCTGAGGATGGGGCCGGGGAAGGTGACGACGACGGGCGGTGGCTGGATGAAGGCCGTCGAGTCGGGGCACTGGCGCGCGCACAGCTCGTTGCAGCTCTCAGCGATGGGCTGGGGCACGGCGACGCTGGTTTTTGGTGGGCACAGGTCGTAGCAAGACATCTTGGTGTGATGGGATGGAGCTCTGCAAGAGGGCAGACAGTGTCACGCAGCAGCAGATGGCAACAGCTCAGGTGCACTCCAGGCACAGGCCTGAGTCTGGAGAAGAATTGCTCTTGGACTTACCCTGTTCCCAAGGAGAAGGAGGCCAGAGCAGTGCTTGGAAGAGCTCCCCTCAGTCCCAGCTTTTATCCAGGATGAAGCATGGCTCATCAGCATCTGGGCCAATGGGCAGAGGTGTCACTCCCTGATGCCGAGGCCAGGCTGGCCTGCTCCTGCCCTCCTGACTCAGCAGCCCATGGTCAGACCAGAACAGGCCACTTGTCCGCCTTCCTTCTTCCTTCTGCTCCATAGGCCAAATGCGGGGTGCTGAGCAGGCAATGACCGAGAGGAGTGCCTTTGATTTGGTGTCACTTTACCTCACCCATCTGCAGATAACAACTGCAGTGCGTTTGTCACTCAGATGCTGGCATGCAGGTGGCCTGGGAAATACCTTCCACTTGCCCAGTACTGTGCCCGGCTCATCCCTGAGGCTCTGCACAGCTGCCATGAGGACACAGCAAAAGCAAGCCCTTGGGCAAGAGCTGTGGCATGCAAGGAACTGCCACTCAGCATTTGTTATGCACCCCGCCATCCCATCTTACACAGGCCGAGGATGAGAGGGCAGCAGGCCTAATTTGCCCATCAGCAGAGGGCTTGCCAGCTACCAAGCAGGCTAATTGTAGGGGCTGAGTGAGCGGGTGGGGGCTGCTGAGGAAACAGCGTCAGCTAAACAGACCCATGGAACGCACGTGGGAGATTGGGGTTTGGCTACTGATAGCCACGTGCCCCCACCACAGCCAGCTCCTCCCCGTCTTCACCAGCCCCCATAAAAGCACTGCCCTGTGTGAGCACCAGTATCCACCACTGCTTCCTGGCTCAGCTTGGGAATACGGTGAGTGACTGGCCCTCCTTTGGCTGGTCCTTGGGTAGATCACTGGGGCAGGGGAGCAGGATGCTGTGGGGGTGGCTATGGCCCTACAACAGTGACAGAGGCTATGGACCTGCTGCATGTAGAGCAGTCCCTGGTCACTCACTTGGTTCTGCTAGGGCATCGCCAATGTTATAGCTCCTCTTCTTGTGGCTTTCATTGCAGGCTCAGCTCTCTCACACCAAGATGTCTTGCTACGACCTGTGCCCACCAAAAACCAGCGTCGCCGTGCCCCAGCCCATCGCTGAGAGCTGCAACGAGCTGTGCGCGCGCCAGTGCCCCGACTCGACGGCCTTCATCCAGCCACCGCCCGTCGTCGTCACCTTCCCCGGCCCCATCCTCAGCTCCTTCCCCCAGCAAGCCGTGGTGGGCTCCTCCGGAGCACCCGCCTTTGGCGGCTCCCTGGGGCTGGGGGGCCTCTACGGCGCCGGGGCCACTCAGGGCTCGGCCGGCCTCTGCACCTTTGGCAGACCCTACGCTTCTCCTGCCTGCAGCCCCTGCGCCTTGCCCCGCTACAGCAGGAAGCTCTGGAACACCTGCGGGCCCTGCTAAACCCAGATGCAAGACCCTTCACCACTTCATTCCTCATCCTCTCTGCTAATTTGTAAGGCCCACTGTGTCTTTTACGGCCCTGAACTGGGCCCTGCGCTGTCCGCTGACTTGAAGATGCCTTCGGAAACACTTCTTTTGAAGACCTTGGCACTACTTCCTGCCTTGGACTCTAGTATGTCTTTGATGTTGTGTCCTTTCCTGTCTTTACAATAAAAGTAATATGCATCCAATGTTTGAATCTTGGGCTTTTCTTCCTTTGCACAATGGCCGCCCCAGGGCTCCCTTCTGCCACGCATGGTCCCTCGGTCTGGCCCAGAACAAGCTCTCAGCCGCCTGCCAAGACAGGCTGTGTTTCCACTGGTCAAAGGCCCTGGCCACACCAGCTCCAGCTCACACTCTACTGTTGCCCATCTGCACAAGCCCTGCCTGAATGCAGGATTCTCCCTCTCCAGCAGGAAATGCAGCCCCAGAGTATCTGAGAACTGCAGTCCTCCCTCCTGCCGATCCTCCCCAGCTCCCATGGCCTCAGCAATATCCCCTCCATGCCCAATCTGAAGGGGCAGACTAAGTTGTGAGGCAACTTCTAGAAAATCATCCTCTGCAAGTGCGTGTTCAAGCTGTTCTGCTGACAGCCACTACAGACAATTATTGGGAATCATGAATTAGAAGGGAATCCGTTCTGAAGATAAAGGCTGCAGCACCCGACAGCACAGTTTGAAACTTTCTTACTGGACATGGACCATACTATTTCTCTGGAGAGCATCTCTGCTAATCTCAATGCAGAGATTAGTCCTTACAGCATAGGTACAATTCTTCTCATGAAGTATTAAGACTTTCCCTCACCCTCCCTCATTTACACAGCTAAACACTGAGCTGAATTTCTGACAAATAAGAGAGTATGCAGTCAAAAATGCGGTACTTCTACAGTGCAGCGCAACTGGCAGAGCAGGCCCACTGCAGATCTGCGGAGGAAAGGCAAGGGAGTTTGGTCAGCACCGTCCTCCTCTCTGTTCCTTCCACAGCTCCCAAAGCCTGACCAAAAGAACCCCTCTGCCATATTTACTTTCAACACTCCCACAATACTAAGCAAAACGTGGGACCCTCATCAGCAGAATTTACCCGACCTCAGCCTTCACAAAACCACCCGGTACTTATTTGAAACAACAACAAAGAGAGGGAGAAGGCATTTGTGAATGCAGGAAAACTTTATTGTTCCCAGATCAGCTGGAGATGGGGACAGAGAAAAAAAGGCAGGTCAGACTCAGGTTGAAGTCCATGGAAGAAGAGGAATGGGCAGGAGATGAGGGCAAAGCACGCAAAGGTGCCAGCACTGCCAGTGGCTCAGGCCTCAGTTGCAGCTGGAGATGCTCAGCACTCCTCAACACTCCAGGCCCAGGCATTCAGGAATGAGTGGATGCTAGTGTTGGAGGGAGCAGGCAGGGCCTGAGTTTAGCAGGGCCCACAGGTGTCCCAGAGCTTCCTGCTGTAGCGGGGCAAGGCGCAGGGGCTGCAGGCAGGAGAAGCGTAGGGTCTGCCAAAGGTGCAGAGGCCGGCCGAGCCCTGAGTGGCCCCGGCGCCATAGAGGCCCCCCAGCCCCAGGGAGCCGCCAAAGGCGGGTGCTCCGGAGGAGCCCACCACGGCTTGCTGGGGGAAGGAGCTGAGGATGGGGCCGGGGAAGGTGACGACGACGGGCGGTGGCTGGATGAAGGCCGTCGAGTCGGGGCACTGGCGCGCGCACAGCTCGTTGCAGCTCTCAGCGATGGGCTGGGGCACGGCAACGCTGGTTTTTGGTGGGCACAGGTCGTAGCAAGACATCTTGGTGTGATGGGATGGAGCTCTGCAAGAGGGCAGACAGTGTCACGCAGCAGCAGATGGCAACAGCTCAGGCGCACTCCAGGCACAGGCCTGAGTCTGGAGAAGAATTGCTCTTGGACTTACCCTGTTCCCAAGGAGAAGGAGGCCAGAGCAGTGCTTGGAAGAGCTCCCCTCAGTCCCAGCTTTTATCCAGGATGAAGCATGGCTCATCAGCCTCTGGGCCAATGGGCAGAGGTGACACTCCCTGATGCCGAGGCCAGGCTGGCCTGCTCCCGCTCTCCCTGTGTCAGCAGTCCCCGGCTGGACCAGGACAGGCCCCTTTACTGCCCTCCCTCCTCTTCCTGCATCATGGACTGACCGTGTAGTGCTAAGCAGAATGACTGAGAGGAGTGCCTTTGATTGGGCATTCCGTCACCTCGCGCCTCTGCAGATAACAAGAAAGGAGTATTTGTCACTCAGATGCTGGCATGCAGGATGCCTGGGCCAGACCTTCCACTTGCCCAGTGCTGTGCCCGGCTCATCCCTGAGGCTCTGCACAGCTGCCATGAGGACACAGCAAAACTATGACCCTGGGCAAGTGCTGTGGCATGCAAGGAACTGCCACTCAGCATTTTTCACCCTCCCTTCCCTCTTATGCAGGCACAGGATGAGAGGGCAGCAGGTCTAATTGGTCCATTAGCAGAGGGCTGGCCAGTATCCCAGCAGGGTAATTGTAGGTGCTGATGGAATGGGTGGGGGTAGCCAAGCAAACAAGATCAGTAAAACAGCCCCATGGAACGCACATGGGAGATTGGGGTTTGGCTGCTGATAGCCATGTGCCCCCAAGCTCCTCCCCATGTTCACCAGCCCCCATAAAAGCACTGCCCTGTGTGAGCACCAGCATCCACTGCTTCCTGGCTCAGCTTGGGAAAAGGGTGAGTGACTGGCCCTCCTTTGGCTGGCACTGGAGTGGGTCTCCTTGGCAGGAGAGCAAGATGCTGTGGGGTGGCTATGGCCCTACAACAGTGACGGAGGCTATGGACCTGCTGCATGTAGAGCAGTCCCTGGTCACTCACTTGGTTCTGCTAGGGCATCGCCAGTGTTATAGCTCCTCTTCTTGTAGCTTTCATTGCAGGCTCAGCTCTCTCACACCAAGATGTCTTGCTACGACCTGTGCCCACCAAAAACCAGCGTCGCCGTGCCCCAGCCCATCGCTGAGAGCTGCAACGAGCTGTGCGCGCGCCAGTGCCCCGACTCGACGGCCTTCATCCAGCCACCGCCCGTCGTCGTCACCTTCCCCGGCCCCATCCTCAGCTCCTTCCCCCAGCAAGCCGTGGTGGGCTCCTCCGGAGCACCCGCCTTTGGCGGCTCCCTGGGGCTGGGGGGCCTCTACGGCGCCGGGGCCACTCAGGGCTCGGCCGGCCTCTGCACCTTTGGCAGACCCTACGCTTCTCCTGCCTGCAGCCCCTGCGCCTTGCCCCGCTACAGCAGGAAGCTCTGGGACACCTGCGGGCCCTGCTAAACACAGGCACATGCCTAGTCTCCTCCTGCTTTTCTCATCCTCTTCATGAATGCATGATCCTATCTGGGCCCTTTGCAGGCTACTGCCTTGTAGATGTCTCAAGAAATACCACTCATGAAGGCCCATGCATCTCTTGCCTACCTGAGTCCGGCACACATCGCTGCTGTTTGTTGTGTCCTTTCCTGCCTTTATGATTAAACAAGGTTGCATCCAACACTTGAGTATTTGTCTTTTCTTTTCAAGGAGCATAGGAGCTCCAGAACTCCCTTCCCCTGCACATGGCCAGCCCATTTGGACAGGACAATCTCAGCTTCCTTCTGAGCCAGGCTGTGTTTCCTTGGGTCAAATCTCCTGACTATGACAGCTCTGGCTCACACAGCACCATGACATGTTAGGAGATGACCTGTCAGAAAGCAAAGCTGCTCCGCAGCCTCTGTGACTTACATCCCCATGCCTTCTGCAAACCTCCAGTCTCCTTGTTTTGGGAACTGCATTAAGTTCTTCTCTTCCTTTTTTCTTTTGCCTGTATTGCTCCAGAATCTTTTCTCCCTAGTCAGCAGATGCATGACTTTTTTGCTTTGTTAATGAACAAAAATCATTCCTTTGCTGTCACTCCCATCTATTAAACTACCTTGCTTTTCCAGTCTTCAGGTTTGATTCCCTCCCCTTTAATGCCAATCAGCTTTGTTCTAACTGCGTGTTAATTGGAATGCTTCTAAATGATGGACCAGTGCTATTAATGCATATATTTAAGGGGAGTATTTCCAAGACTAAGCCTTAAGTGATCAACCAGTAACCACCATCCATTTCTTTAGTTCTCAAATGATGTTAGACACAGACTAAAAGAATATAGTTACATACTGTTTTGCAACTAGACATGACCTCACCCTGAACCATCAACCAGCTCAAATAAAGCTATGCAATCGTGTTAGTTGGGTGATAATAGCTCTCACCAATCTTGTTATCTTGGGCTAGGCACTTGCTGTCTAACACAGTATGCATGTAGTTTTAGCTGGCTTGCATCCTGCCCAGCACTCTCAGCAAATCCATTGGAAGTTTGGTAAGAGAAGCTTGCATGTTCAGCACCTAAATATCTTTCAGAGATTTGCACGAGAACGGGGATCCCAGTGTTGAGAAGAGAAACAAGAGAAACAGAGAAAAATCAGTCATCTCAATTTTGTAAAATTGCTGCTGTTAATGAGCCAGCTGGGAGGAATCAGGGCTTTGCTCCAACTCAAGGGGTGGCTGAGCCAAAGAGATGCAGGTCGGCGTGGCATAAAGTAGGATTCTAGTTGTTTAGCTCCAGGGAAATCAGCACAGCAGTGTCTTTGCCTCAACACACATGAGTCTGGAGGGCAGCAGCAGAAATGGAAAGCCATCTCCTTGTACCCAAAAGGCAGGAGACCTTCTCCATTCTGACTGCATGGGTTGCTTACCCATTTGTGGATCCCTTGGGGGAGACCAAAACATCCTTATCTGAGCCCTGTAGACTTCAGCACCATCCCAGCTTCCTACAAATCCCCAACAAAAAGCCCAGGACTATGAGGGCAGGTGGTATTGAGAGCCAAGAAAATGGGAGAGGCTTTTGATGAGTGTCATTTTTTTTTTTCATTGCAATATTCTCAATATGCATTTTTTAAATGAGTGAACATAAAATATTACCATCTTAAAATAAAAACAAGATGCATTATACAATAGTCACGCTGCTTTTGATTTCAGCTCATTGCTACTTTCAGCATAGAGCCATCTGACACATACTTAGGGGACAGTAAAATTATCAATTAAATTCTGGATTGCTACTTCACAGTGCTGAGGGCTGAGCTCAAGAAATCACACATTCACTTTTTCATTGAAAGTACCTGTAAAATAATCCCTAAGCATCTGTTAAGCAGTACTTCATTTTCTTCATACTTCATGCAGCTGATGTATGGGCTTGGCCAAAACTTGCTTGAGGTAACAATTAGCTTAGCAGTGAAAAGGTAGTGCTTGATCACTGCTCTTCAGATACCTATCTTAAAAATAATCTCCCATTTATCTTCCTCCTATTGTTCTTTTTCTGAATGTAATTTGACAGAACTTCAAGACAGGTTTATCACTTTATACATGAACACAGTGATGTGTTCTAGTAACTTATACAAGATTTCAAAACAAAAACAGCACTAAACTCTAACCAAACACTGGAAGTTTGACAGCTGAAATAATTAACGCAGAGGAGATGCAAGATAATTCCATCTCAGTAGAAAAGGAAAACTGGGCAGATAGCTTCCTTCACTGCAGGACTATGTGAGAGCTACCAAGGGCTCTGCCCAAAAGCATCTCAGCCTTGGAATGTAAGTGGGCTGAAAGCCTGCCCAGGGTGGGAGGCAGGCCACATGCAGGGGAAGGGACACCTGGACCCCTACAGGGACTGCAAAGGAAAACAGGAGTCAAGCATTAAATACAGGCTTAGTTTATTATATGGGCAGTAAAGGACACAAGAACAGAAATACAACAGGCTCTGGTGGGAAGAAGGCCCCAGGGCTTCAGGAAAGGTGTTTCTTCAGGTTTCTCCCATGCAGCAGCCAGAGCAGGGCCCATAAATAACCTTTGTGGACATGGATGAACTTGAACATGCCTGACCACTGACAGGGCAAAGAAGAAGAAATGAAACAGGTGACGGAGAAAAAAAAAATTAGAAATGAGATTTAAGGAGCTATTCTGACCCCACTGCATTAACAAGAAATTGTTGATGCTTGGCACCTTATTCAAGAGCTCAGCTGAAGATCAGGATAGTACTGCCCATTTGCTGGTTTGCTCCCATGAGGGAAATATTCCTGCATGATTTAGCAGGGCCCGCAACTGCCACGGCGGTACCTGTTGTACCGGTAGGAGTAAGGGCTGCAATAGCCAGAACCATAGGATCTACCATAGCCATACAGGCCCCCAGAGCCCAGGGAAGAGCCTCCATAGCCATACAGGCCCCCAGAGCCCAGGGAAGAGCCTCCATAGCCATACAGGCCCCCAGAGCCCAGGGAAGAGCCTCCATAGCCATACAGGCCCCCAGAGCCCAGGGAGGAGCTTCTGTAGCCCAGGGAGGAGCCCCCAAAGACCGGTGCTCCAGAGGATCCCACAACTGAATCTTGGGGGAAGGAGCTGAGGATGGGTCCAGGGAAGGTGACAACAACAGGAGGTGGCTGGATCACAGCTGTGGAGTCAGGGCACTGTCGGACGCATGGCTCATTCCCGCTGTCAGCGATGGGCTGGGGGCGGCTGATGCCACCGATGTTGGTGGGGCACAGGTCGTAGCAGGACATCTCTTAGGAATGGAGGTCAATCTGCAAAACATGGGCCTTAATGTTAGCATTAGAGAAATAACAAAAATTAGATTGTGATGAAGGAGTCCAGCAGGGCATCTGTAATAAATCTGGGAAGTGTGCATATTCTATCACTATTCTCTTTTGCATTGCAGTTTGAAGAATGGTCTTCACCTTAATATGGCAAATGCACATCCTTTTCAAGTGTGATTTTTGTTATTTGCAGGTGAGCTAATTTCAGTAGTACAATGTGAGTATCAGTTGAGTACATACTTCTTTGCTACCAGGAGAAATCTGTTGAACATTGCCATAATTCTGACTGTCTATGAACTATTCTTTGTCTTAAAATAGTATATATAATTGTAGATAGTCAAGGAAATCCTTTTCAACATTAAGATCTTAGAAGCCTGGGAATCTAAACTGCTTAAAATACCCTCAAAGTCTTTTTCTGGAGCCTAGCTCCACAAGGGCTCTCATGTAAATGGAAAAAATAAGCACTATTTTCATAAACGATCAATCACAGATCTCTCACAGTCTGGCAGGCCTGAAGAGCACTTGGTTCTAAGTTCAAACCAAAAGTTTGCGACAAGTCAATCTTTGCAGCTTGAAAGAAATCTGACTTACCCAACTCACGAAGGCGAGTAAGGCGAGAGAAGTGGATAGAAGAACCTGGAGGAGAGAGCTTTTATACAGTTCCTTCCTTTGCCTGGGGGATGTTAGGCATCCCGTGCTTGAGTTCATAATTAGGTACCAACCCCAAACTGTGGGACACGCAGTTCTAAGTGCTGAAATTGCTTTTGCTTTTTTGTTTGCACATTGCAGGCGCTTCAAACCCACACATAGCGTGACGTGCATGCCCCACTGCAGACCTCTCCATCATCTCCAGGAGTAATTTTTTTATTTCATTGCTCTTTAGGGGATCAAGCAAGCTGACTCAACTTATTTTAGCCATACCTTATTAAAATGACAGGACAGTAATTTCTTTTTATCCATTCACAGTGTCTTTTAGTGTAATCAGTTGAGGTGATAGTTTACCCACAGAGAAAATTAAATTTATTTAGGAGCTCCAATGAAGGCTGAAGGCTTTTTGCAGGCTTAATGCTTATACCTCCAAACGCATCACTGGGCAATTGCAGTGATCAGGAAATAAGGAGCGTCTTTTAGTGACTTTTGGAGAACTCTCTACCAGTTGACTTTCAGTCTTGGGAACAGAGGAATGCTTCAGCTGGTAATCACAAACCTCTCTGGAAATGGAGTTTTGAGGTTTTTTCCATCAAAACTGACTTTCCTTTATATTATTTTGATATGACATGAAGGCAGCGACTATCATACCGTGGGTTGTCATCTGGTTGTTAAATGTTTGACACACAGACATTACTTCTTGTGGACAAATGCATGCTTCAATAAAATGGAAATGAGCTTTCAGATAGAAAGTCAAAGTTCCGAGAAGCGTTTTAAACCACAAACTGATTACTTTAAAGACCCAAGTGACCTTAACCTATATATTTCAATGTGATAACCTCTCATAATAGGGAAGTGTTTGCATCCGGGTTTTTAATGTAATACTGACTCAGTACACACAAAGTGGTAATGATTGTTGGTGAGATATTTGAAAGCCCATTGGAATGTCCTCATAAAACTTGAGGATAGTTTTCAGTATTACAGTACAGGAAACCTCCTGATGTGGAAAAGCTCATAATTTAGAAACAATATGTGATATGAAGATTACTAGGTTGATAATTATGATGATTATGATAACCATCATAATGATATGGTATTAAAACAATGCTGTAAAGAAAGAAACCTCAGCAAATGCCACTATTTTCTTTTTCCAGTGGTTTCCCAGATAATAATTGCTTTCTGCTGAGAGATGCTGTCAATCATCATCTTTTATGCAAGATCAGTTGTAGACCAGGATCAAGGACTCCAGGATCAAGCAAGCTAGGAATTAAATGAATCTCAGGAAAATGTACCTTTTCAAACTCATGGAGTAGAATAAACCAAGCTGAGTGTTTTGAGTATCCGAATGTTTATTTCTGATATTCACAGGGCATCTGTCCACTTAGTGTCACTTCAACAGCATTTCAGACATTGATATCTTAAAGGTGAGGTTTTTTACCTGTTGGAAATACAAATGAAAGAGTGGAAGAAACCCTTTAACAGCTGCAAATGGTATTTGATTTATGTTTTGAACATCCAAAATTTGTCTGTTCAATGTAGCCTTATGTAAGGTACTTGGAACTCTCAGCAGGTTATTTGTGATAAAGTATCACATATGTGATATGTATGACACAGCAAAAGAAGCATTAACTACGTATAAGCAGCTTACTACATGGTGCAACTCCAAAGAGGATAGAAAACTGATATTAGGTTCATGAATCATGTGTTAGGATGAAAGATGCACTCATTTCACCCATCACTGTTTCAGATCAAAGACCCTTGCGTGATGTAACGTGTTATGTTGCATGATAATTGGAATCAAGTAATAAGCAAAAGCAGAAAGCAAGAGAATTTCATCACTTTATGGAGGTATCAATACAAAAAATGTGTCATGTCAGCTTATTAACTTGATGTTCACAAAACCAGCCTCTCACCCCTCAGGCAGTCTGTGCTGTATAAAAGCACTCTGCACTCACGGCTCTTCCAACCTCATCTCTTCATTTGCTCTTCTTGGTGAATTGGGTAAGTCTGAATTTGCTCTTTGACTACCATAATATCTCTTTTCTATGTGATTTAATGCTGGATGGTCTCTAATTAGTACTGATGAGTAAAATTTTAGGTGAAAATTCTACAGAAATGATTTAAAGGATTATGCACAACCATATTCAGTGCTGGCATTTGCTTTCAAAGCCAACCAAAAGTCTCTTGATAGGGCATAAAAAGTTGAAAGAAAAGTTTAATTCCAACAGTTGAAGAAATGATGTGACAAGTTCAATGTCTGTTGCTCTTTCAGTAACTCAGATAAATAAACAGAAAACTTTGAAAAAGTTTAAATCTACATGGTTTATGGGAAAGGTTTCCACTTAGAAGTGGACTTTCCATTATGTCTATTACAGATCACTCAAGTTGCTTTAAAATGAACTCAAGAAAAATGGCCATGAATGCTATCAGAGATTAGGCACTGAATTAGAGGAAAAACACAAAAGAAACGAGAGGTGTTTCTTAACGATAAGGAATCATGCAGAGAGCTTGAGGTAACTAGTGAAGAAATATTTTTTAGTGCCTATTGAAGTGAGTCATTTGGAGGGAGATTATCTACAGGGCATTTTAATATGGAGTTCTAAGCTCTTTACAGAAACGCAGAATCACTCTTTAGAGAAACTGGTCATAAATATCTTTGCCACGATTTAGTGTTTAGAAAAGGGGGACAATAGCCTTTGTAATTCTACTGGAATGGTCTCATTAAACAAGTTACTGAGCAAGTCTGAATAGTCAATGGCTTATAATCCTTCTCTCTATAAGGCTCAGCACAGAGAAGATCAGTAGTGAAGATGAGCTAGAGTCACGACACTGGGTTCTTGGGGACTCTGAGCCCTGTGCTGATCCAATGACTCACCAAAGCATCTCAGGAAACAGTTTTGCTGCTTTGATTTTTCAATTCTAATGCATATAGAGGAATTAATGCTCTTCAAAGGGCTGTTTAGTTGAAAGAAAGGTAAAGAACTCTATAGTGGTTATAGTCATACAAATAATGCCTTGAGCTTAATACAATCAACCTGGTATTATACAGATTGACCTCCATTCCTAAGAGATGTCCTGCTACGACCTGTGCCCCACCAATATCGGTGGCATCAGCCGCCCCCAGCCCATCGCTGACAGCGGGAATGAGCCATGCGTCCGGCAGTGCCCTGACTCCACAGCTGTGATCCAGCCACCTCCTGTTGTTGTCACCTTCCCTGGACCCATCCTCAGCTCCTTCCCCCAAGATTCAGTTGTGGGATCCTCTGGAGCACCGGTCTTTGGGGGCTCCTCCCTGGGCTACAGAAGCTCCTCCCTGGGCTCTGGGGGCCTGTATGGCTATGGAGGCTCCTCGCTGGGTTATGGGGGCCTGTATGGCTATGGAGGCTCCTCGCTGGGTTATGGGGGCCTGTATGGCTATGGAGGCTCCTCGCTGGGTTATGGGGGCCTGTATGGCTATGGAGGCTCTTCCCTGGGCTCTGGGGGCCTGTATGGCTATGGTAGATCCTATGGTTCTGGCTATTGCAGCCCTTACTCCTACCGGTACAACAGGTACCGCCGTGGCAGCTGTGGGCCCTGCTAAATCATGCAGGAATATTCCCCTCATGGGAGAGAATCAACAGATGAGATGCAATGGGTTCCCAACTGAAGAGCTCCACATTGCTCTGATTCAAGACCATTGAGCTTTTTCCCTTCAGCTCTGATCAAATTTCTCCTCTGAATTCTACTTTCAATTTCCACTATAACACTTCTCCCTTCATGTTTCCATCATGCTTTAGGTAAACGTAACAAAACAGCAGAAATGATTCCTGTTTGTTTAGATAAACTAAAACACAGGAAGGAAAATGAATCATGTGACTATATCCCTTGCTGAAGATCAGTTACTTATTTTCTTGGGGACTCTGAATGTGTATTACTTTCTCAGTATCATTAAAAGTTTATTACATCAAACTTGCGACTTTCTGGTGTTCTTTCCTCATATTTTTTATCCTGATTATTTATTAAGAAGCCTACAGTAGTTCTACAGCCTGTCCAGCTGAAAATCTACATCATGTGGATGAAAATCCCAGAAGTAAGTCACAGAAAAAAAAACAACAACTTTCATGTCTACAAAAGCAGAGTCCAAGCCCTCAGAATAAAGGAATGATTGCTCTACTCTCCCTGTATTTCAGACATATAAACAGAAAGGTTAGGGTGGTATACCCACCAATTACAGATTAGTAGCATTAAAGAAATGTAACTATAGGTTCAGCACTTTAAACGGCTTTCCTGTCAGTTTAGGATTCACTGTTGATTTCACAGAACCATAGAAAATCCCAAATTGGAAGGGACCCATGGTGATCATTGAGTCCAGCTCATAGTAGTTGGGCTGATTTCTTCCAGTTGAGTCACTGAGTTATCGCCCTGAATTTCGGGTATTCACTATTCAAACACCATCCTTGGGACAGACCTTACTAAAAATTGACACGATTTTCTGTCAATTTCTTCAACAGTGAATATTCTCCTGTAAGCTTCATGGAAATTTTATATTCAGGGTATAATCAGCAGTCTGTATAACAAGGAAATCTAAGACATTGAAGAGCTTTTGACAGAGACAAAAAAAACGCAAAAGATCTCCAGTTTTACCATAGTCCTACATTAACGTTGATTCATCACTGCTAGCAAAAACAACAGAAGCAGTCAGGGTATTTATGATATCCAAAGAGCTTAAGCATTAGAAAAATCAGACTTCTATATACACATCCTCAGCAGAGTGTTTCTCAGTTCCTCCTACATAGGAACACCTTGCAACTAAAGCCCCCACTTCCATCCCCTTTATGCTACAGACCAGTCTTCCAGATTCTCCTGACTTCCTGGGTTCTCCTGCAATATTTCTCACCCAATACATTCACTGAGAAGCCACACCCCTCTGAGAATCATTTCTTGTTGCAGCTTTTCCCCTTCAACAACCCCCCATCACCACTCTTGACCTCCCTAAATTCCTTCCCATGCAGGAGCATCCCTCCCACCTGAGGGCCCCAGCTGTGACTCATTTCCCCATAATATGCTCATCAGAGCCATTGGCTCTTCTGTTGTGATCAGGGAAGATCACCAGGTGGCTCATTAGGGAAGGGAGGTTTAGTGTAGCTATTTTCTAAACATTTTGTTATTTTTCTATCACCAGATTAGGAGAATTCCTGCTCACAAACGTGTGCTCAGTGCAGCAAAGAGGGTCAGTGTTCACTAATGGCTGAATTGCTTCAACTCTTTCTAAAAGTTATCCTATGTAAGGATTTATTTCTTTCTTCAGTTCTCTTTATGGAGAGAATTTTTCTCCACAGTAGTAGAAATTAAAACCAAAAGTTGATTTATCTGATTCGGAAGAAAATCACTTTAATAAGATGTATTCACAGAAAAGTGTTACAGAATGCCAAGAATAAACATTGGAGTGCAGACAGATCATTCCATAATTATTCTTTGGTGAAATATCATTTCATAAGGATTAAGATTGCTTATAGTAACCACCAAACTGTACGCACAGGAGGAAAAAATATTCAAAGAAGCCATGAGTAGAATGTGAGGCGATTAAAGATGCTCTGTGTGCTCCCAGCTCCACTGCAGTGGGATGGGACCAATCACAACTTCATCTCCTTTGGGACTACTGCTATGTATCACGGAGTCACTGGATATTCTTGTAGGTTATTTCTGCATGATTTAGCAGGGCCCGCAGCTGCCACGACGATATCTGCTATATCGGTAGGAGTAAGGGCTGCAATAGCCAGAACCATAGGACCTACCATAGCCATAAAGGCCCCCATAGCCCAGGGAGGAGCCCCCATACAGACCCCCATAGCCCAGAGAGGAGCTTCCATAGCTCCCATAGCTCCCAAGGCCCCCATACAGACCCCCATAGCCCAGTGAGGAGCCTCCATAGCCATACAGACCCCCAATGCCCAGGGAGGAGCCCCCAAAGCCCCCAAGAACGGGCGCTCCAGAGGATCCCACCACAGCTTGCTGGGGGAAGGAGCTGAGGATGGGCCCAGGGAAGGTGACAACAACAGGAGGTGGCTGGATCACGGCTGTGGAGTCGGGGCACTGCCGGACACAGGGCTCATTGCAGCTGTCAGCGATGGGCTGGGGGCAGCTGATGCCACCGGTGGTGGTGGAGCACAAATCATAGCAGGACATCTTCTGGGGATGGATGTAAGCTGCAGCACACACTGATGATGAGACTGAGTAGAAGACAAAGAAACACAAATGATTATAGCAGTTTACACAAAGGTAATGAGTAGAGTATAGGAGTTTCAGCAAATAGCCAGTTTCGCTGAATTATGTAAACACAGATTATGTGGCTTTCCCTGCCTGAATGCTTACAAAGTCATTTGTCGTGACAGTGAAGGATAAATTGCTATGCTATTATCCCAGTTCCCATTTAGGCAATCACTACCCTGATATAAGCCATAAAATTTCAATATTAAATAAATACATGTTCAAACATTCTGGGCCAGGATGTCCTCCAAAAAGTTCTTTCGAAATGACTAGTCCCGAGATTCTGTGAACTCCAGAATATGCAAAGATTGCCATAGGTTAAATGCAAGGCAGTCAGGGTAGTGCAATGCAAGTCTCATAGGAACTAGTACTGAGGCAGTACCTCTGCAATGCCCCCCATATTACAGGTTCATTTGTCAGCCCAGAGCTGATGCTAGGTTCTCTGTCCCAATACAGTACAGATGCCCTCAACAGCATGGATGGTAGCCATCAGTTGAGGTTAAATCCTGCATTAAAGATGTAGCAGTAGAGAAGAAAAAGAGACTTACCTGAGCCACCAAGAAGTCAAGGGAAAAGTTTGGAAGAGCTATGAGAGAGAGGAGCTTTTATAGCCCATCAGAGCAACCGTAGGTACAAGATAAACATTTGTTGCCCGCCCCAATTTCAAATGCAGGTAACCCATCAAGATGATGACATTGCTTTGTTCATTATTGGAGTTTACAAGTCCTTTCAAAATTCTCTTGTAAAAGAACATAAACATTACATTAGGTGACGGCGAATTCTTTCATCTTGTGACTTGTTGAGGAAAATTAATGCCTGGCATTATTCCAGTCAATTCTTTGAAATTACGAAAGAATTGTGCTTGCTCCTCTTGTATTAACGCCTGGAGTGTGTCTCATGGGTTTATCAGAATAATAAACTGCTGTCATGGACACGATTTTTGTTTAAGAACATATAATTCACATTGCAGCCTGCCCAAACAGCAGTTAAAGACTGACAGTGTAATATGTAGGAAGGCTGGGGGTGGTTGGTGCATGCTTAGCTTCCCCACCCACAGGTGGAGGACCCAGTATCTCTGGTTGTTGTTAGCTTTTGGCTGTGAAAGGGACAATTCAGCTCTAAAAATCAGCACCCTCTCCAGGCACCTGTAAGGTTTGCTTCAGTTGTGCTTTCTACATAGGATAGGATTCGAGACAGAAATTGAAATTTGAGCAGAAAAATAGCACAGTCCTTAGGTTTTGGAGTCTTTAAGGAGAAAAATCCTTAGGGATTTTTCTTTGTGCAGGTATCAGCTGAGGGGATTTCTCCTCCCAGCAGCCACTCAAACTGTGCTCTTGGATGCAAGAATAGAAATGGGGCAGAAGTGCTTTGAGTTGTTGACATTGATTGTCAGGAATTTGTGACCTGTAATGCTCAAGCCCAGGACAGTGCTGAGCTGGCAGTTTCAACAAGTAGAGAACAATTATGCACTTGGAATGAATTGTGAAAAATAAAGGCTGGGTCTTCCCCTGTATACAGATGTGTTATTTTAATACTGCAGACTCTATGCCATAGATTAGCATAAATTATCAGGTGGGTCTCTCAGCCTTTGAAGTGGTTGGAACTTTTTCTGGGAAATATTTCCAGGGAAACAAGTCTTTTCAACTGCCACAAATCATCCACAACGTTTGAGAACGCATTCTTACAATTAGATTAAATACGTGTACCCGGATTTGTGTGCCTAGCAATTATGAAATGATATCACATTAAAATATTTAAGTCAAGGTCAATTGTGTTCTTGCTATAATCAGTTCATGACTGTTTTCTTCAGAGAAATATGAAATGAAACACAAACTTTTCAGTAACAGACAGCTTATTAAATGGGTGTATCTTTATCATTCCTGGTTGCACATCAGACCATGAAAACAAAGATAATGGAAAAGCTGAAGAAAAGCATTGGCATTGCTCCTGCTCTACCACTAAGGACATGAAGAGAGTGATAACAGGAATTAATATGATGTCGAAGCATTTCAGATGAAAGAGACTTCTGTGACAAAATGCAACTCTTTTGTTTTGTGAGAGTTTGAACCAGCAGTCAGCCAAACTTTGATGACCTGCGTGTCATAATAATTTGGGGTTTGCCCCAATTATGCACAAGAACAAATTGTACCTTAGGTGATCCCCACAACCAGGGGAACTGTATAAAAACTCTCTGAACCAAGAGTTCTTCATTCCACCTTGCTTGCTTTACTCTCCCTGTGAAGAGGGTAAGTATCATTCTATCATGACCTCTTGCCTAAAATCCAAATATATGTTTTTAAATTGTTTTAATTAAATGTGTATGGAATAACCTCTAAATACTCTAAGATTCTTAATAATGATAGATTTTCTCTCAGTGAGTGTATTTTCCTTTTATAGTGTCGGACATCAGTGTACTCAGGTTCTTCAAAAGTGGCCATTTCCTCTTAACACAAACTTGAGCCACCAAAGCAGCACTGAAAACTTCAGCAGAAGGCTATTCATGTCACTAGGAAATTTTTAAGGAAAATATACATAATTTTTTTTTATTCATCTTTTTATATGTATTGTATTATGAGCGGATCAGCTTGGCCAGAAAAATGCAGAAGTACTGTTGAAAGAGATACTGGAATATAGAGATGAAATTAGTAAACATGAACCTTCATATTGTCCTCCGTCTGAGCAAGGAGTTGGTCCAAATGACCTTCAGAAATCTTTGCTAATCTATTATTTTCCATAGTTCTATGTTGCAGTATGGTTCTAGTGAAGAAAGAATTGTTCAGAGGAGGTACTGAGCCTTTTCCATGGGTTTTCCTGGAAATTGGCTCAGATCCTATGGTGATAATCTTGCTGAAGAGCTCAGCACCCAGCAAACACGTCTGCAGCAGAGGCTCATCTATAGCTGCCTGAGTGTACCAGTTTCACTGTGGAGAAACCAAACAGATAATCTTCTCACCCACCCTGTGACTCTCAATCTACTTTGCAAATACTTCAGGGCAGGGAATGCCTTATTTAATCTGTTTTTCTAGCAGGCTCAGGATGCCGGCAGCATGATTTTTGCCATTGCTTTTGGAAACAAGTTACAAGTCGATATGTCAGAGTTGTTATTCCAGCTACCCATTAATTTACTGCAAGAGCTTCGCTGGTATTCAGGTTACTCTGCTTTGTTTTTGCCAGTATAAAATAAAATGTGAAACAACCTCTTAGACACAGATATTGTGAGAGTGACTGCAAAATATAGTGAAAGCAATTGGCAAAGCAAGTGGTTGGTTCTTGTAGTGATCAAGAGCTGGGTAGTAAAAAGAACTTCTAATAGGAAATCAAGCATGAGAAAATAGGAAGGATACAATAAATGGAGGGGCTTTTCAGAATGGAACCTGAGCAGTGCTTGTTTTTACAAGTGAGAGAGAGAGATATTGATGAATTAGATTGAAAAGGAAGAAATACAGCTAAGATTTGAGAGATAAAGCCATTATTCTTATCCATGTGTCCAACTTTTAAACTCTTTTTTTCAGTAGAGTTTGTGCCTTCCGTTTACTTATCATCAGTGTGTGCTGCAGCTTACATCCATCCCCAGAAGATGTCCTGCTATGATTTGTGCTCCACCACCACTGGTGGCATCAGCTGCCCCCAGCCCATCGCTGACAGCTGCAACGAGCCCTGTGTCCGGCAGTGCCCTGACTCCACAGCCGTGATCCAGCCACCTCCTGTTGTTGTCACCTTCCCTGGGCCCATCCTCAGCTCCTTCCCCCAGCAAGCTGTGGTGGGATCCTCTGGAGCGCCCGTTCTTGGGGGCTTTGGGGGCTCCTCCCTGGGCACTGGGGGTCTGTATGGCTATGGAGGCTCCTCTCTGGGCTATGGGGGTCTGTATGGGGGCCTTGGGAGCTATGGGAGCTATGGAAGCTCCTCTCTGGGCTATGGGGGTCTGTATGGGGGCTCCTCCCTGGGCTATGGGGGCCTTTATGGCTATGGTAGGTCCTATGGTTCTGGCTATTGCAGCCCTTACTCCTACCGATATAGCAGATATCGTCGTGGCAGCTGCGGGCCCTGCTAAACACAAAAGGAAAATCCACTGAATGAAGTACCAGTGGAAAACAAAATGCAGATTTACCAGCTAGTGGAGGAGTAACAACTTTGTGAAAGCACTCGCTAATCCTGCTCCATTTGTATGCTCCACACCTCTACATTTTTCCTTTGAATTCTTCTCTGATACCTTTGTGGGTTCAATTATTTATTTCTGTTTTATCACACTTGTTTCTGAGTGCAGTGAGACATGTAACATAGTTCTTTTCCAAATGCATCAGTCTCCAATATCCTCCATATGCATACTTGATACTGTGATACTTGTTTATTCTTTCCATTCTCATTAAAATTCCACTGCATCATTAAAAAAAAAAGAAGTGTACTGTAATTCATCAGTTCCTTCCATTCTGACTTTGCCAGCTTCTCTGCATAAAGCTGCCTGTTGAACCTATGTACTAAGCTACAATAACACTTCCACATAGTAGAAGTCCACCAGAAGCCCTTTCTAGATTTGTTTCACCACCGATCAGCACCAACGTGGTCACAACACACCTGCCATAGATGAGCAGGAGCTTTCTTAACACATTACTCCATTAGATTTCCCACTCATGAGTGTGAGATAAAACTTTGAACTAACTACACATTGAGCCCTTGCTTATTCCATTGCAGACCTCTAATCTGATGTCATAACGTAATCTAACCACAGCCCTTAAGGGAAGATTGGTAGCTGATACCAAATTAGTTTTGGAATTTGTGTTTCTCTGGCACAAATCTGCCTGAGTCCAGCCTTTTGAAGTGTCTTTCTCCTGTAAATCCTGGCTGTGTGTAGGTGACACTTCTGCCAATCCATTTGTATATATTCACAGTGCTTCTGTTTGGGTTCCTGGTTTTGGGAGTTCTTTGGTTCTCTGTAAGTAACGCGCTTATCAAATATAAATATATTTTCTATAAATATTCTATGGGTAGCCTCAAACCAAGTAAAAGTACTGCAGCACATCTGGTCTATCTGCTATCAGAAGAGCATCTATCTCCTGATGAAGCAGATATTTATCTTATAAAATGGTTTCTTCCCATGGTTCTGCTGCCAAAAGATCTTAGGCTACATATTTATCTACAGCAGAACAGCAGCCAGAAAGGATCCACAACTCACCGCCTTGCCTTTAAGTGGGTGGGAAAGACCAGCATAATCAAAGCTCTTGTTAAGAGGAGCCCCAAAATGTGTGTGCTGCCAAGGATCCCACTGTGTTGTCCTGAAGGAAGGAACCAAGCATCAGGTTGGGAGGAGATGCCAACATGTGGTAGTGATTCACTCAGGGCAGCTGTTGGCATTGGAGCCAGACATAGAGTGAACGGCAGGAAACTTGGCAAAAAGTATAATTGCACAGATTCCCTAAAACAGGAGAAGCTCAGATCTCATGGTGATGGGAAAGGCATAGCAATACATAGTTCCAGACCACCCCACCCAACTGCAGTCAACCAGCCAAGATCTACTTGGTCAGGTAAATGGAGTTCCTCAGAAGTCTATGAGCCCTCCAGGAAAATATTTTTAGATAATAGTTAATCACTGTGTAGTGGAAAAGGAGGAATGTAAAAGGTCACATGCTTCACCAGGTAAATGGCCGCTCTTGTTCTGTGCCTTGTCTCTGATAAACATCAGTTCTACATGGTCTGAGGCTAAGTGTAAAAATCTGGATGCATTCCATTATTGAATGAGAAAGCTCACCCAACTCCTAGCACCCAGGGGGCCCTTTTTGCACCAAGGAAGCTTTCCTCACATTCCTTTAAAGCTTTGGCTTTCTTCCATGCGAACTAAGTTGAAATGGCACCTGGAAGACCAAGTGGACGTGTTCTTTATTAAATAAGATCCTGACTGAGGTCTTGGGAGGGTAAGAGTGCAGTTTGTAGGGCTGCAGGGGTTTGGGTTTCTGTTCAGCAGAGTGTAACCCTAAGATCTGGTCGTATGGAGAGCTGGCAGCTCCTGAGAATACATGGTGAAAAATAGCAGCTGGGTCCTAAAAATCAGAATATAACATTGTCACCTCGTAAGTGACAAAAGAGTATTTCAAAATGTCACAGAAATCAACAGCTTGACATCTAGAAAACAGTTGGCTCCAAGAAGAAGAAGGCAAGACAAACAAATATAAGGCTGTTCTGAGGAGGGCTTTATATGCATTTCCTCGAACTGCCTGGAGGACCTGAGGCTCCTATTAACTCCAGCCCACATCTATCATAGGTGGTTCACCTCAAAATGATGAATCAGTTTTTTGCTCAATATTTATGTTTATTAGTTGATTCAAATTCTCACTCTGCAGGAAATGCGAATTACAAAACAAACATTTCTTTCATCTTAACACTTAATTGGCAAGATTCATTCCTGGTAATGTTCCATTAACTACATTAGAATGACAGGAGGAATTGTGCTGGCTTCACTTATTTCTTCTTTATTAGCTGACATAATGATGGTGGCTCAGAAGTCCACTGTAATTGCCAACTGCTTTCATATGCAGATTTTCTTTCCATCCTTTCTTACTCATGCTAGATAACGTATAATTGAGACAAACCACGGCGTCTTTCTTGCGAAACCAACAATCTACATGAGGGTGGAACAGGACCATCCTGCACTTTTTGGGTGAAAAATCAAGAGAAACATTACAAAGCATTTTTTAAACCATCCATCCCCATGCCCTGTGTGGCAAACTACCCAGTTCTGTAGATCAATTTGCCACAATAAAAGACAGCTAGCTTGAGGAATATGTATTTTAGAGGAAGCCAAGCATGTGTTTCAGTCATAGAGCCAAGGGAGACAGCTCACAGGTAGGCTTAGAAAGCACCAGGGAAAGCTGCCAAACATGAGGCTGGAGATCTCTGTGCCACAACCAGAACAAATGAAGAACTCATTTGGAACAGGAAATCAGCTGAAAGCCTGATGCTGGAAATCATGATCTGGTGAAAAGGACAGAAAGAATGCACTTGACCAATGCAATTTCAAAATTACATTTCAAAGCTCTGTGCTGCTCAAATCTGACCACATACCTGCATGGCAGTTCATACCTAAGCCATTAGAAATGCTTTACGAAGCACTTAAAAACCACACACAAAAACTAATTTAACATCCCTTATGAGTGCTATTGTGCCGTGATCCCCCAAGGCTGCCTCAAAAAACCCTCATAAATTAAGGATAATTTCTGGCACAAATATTGTGGTGATTGCTATTTAACATCAACTGACCCATGAGCAAATGGGGAAATGTAGGGGCGGATTGGGCACTGTCTGTTGCCCAGGATTTTGGAATATGGGTGGGATGCATCTCAATGCATCTCACTTGCTTAGAAGCTGTGTTTTTCATTAATCACCCTGTGTCAACGACAGCACAATTGATGTGTTTTGAGGACGATACAAATACCAGTAAGAGAAGCATGAGGCAGCATGAGTGTCTTGTAGTATTCTTGTTCCTCCCTATTGAGCACAGGGAAAGCCTGAATCAGTGCTTTACACATCATTTGGAATCTGGCAAGGAGATCACTCTGCGAGAGATGTTTTGCTGATCCAGGAAGAAAGAGAAGGAAAATAATGCTACTCCTGTAATATTCCATCTTCCTACCACCTGCCAGCATGTCTAGGAAGAAAGAATTTAAAGTTGTTTCTTTGGGATTATCGAGTGAAACAACTTTAAATTCTTCTATAAGGCAGAGGGGTAGATAGGGGCAAACTGTGAAATATACTGGTATCCATTCAGATCTCATTTTAATCACTGTTTCAGATGCTGAAGCAATCTCTTCTGCTGGTGCTCCCAGGCAGCAAGGAAAATTCAGCATTTCTGTATCAAAGCCGATAGACTTTCCATACTGTGGCTTTCTGCAGGGATGCGTTCACCCCCACATTTTGGGGCTGTAGGTGGGAGCAGAAATTGGATTCCATCTCACTGACCATTTCATTGCAAAACGCGTGAGCAGGTCAGATTATAGCCCAGATCTGCAGAGCTCAAATGCAAACATGCACAGCAAGCTACAGATCTGATTAAAATCATTACAGGAAGTTAATGAAGGAAGTGCTAAATAAATAGAAACAGTTTAATACCTCCTGTGATGCCAGTGAGGAGGGTGGAATGATACCAGCACTGCAGCCGGTCAATTAAACATTGAGATGAAAGAGTGCTGGGAGCTGGAATGTGCCTACTACGCTACTCAGAGATTTAGGATGATTTTGCAAACAGCAAAGCAAAAACAATTTCATCATTTTGGGAAGCTCAGTGTGCTTCAGATTTGGGCTGCTTTATGACTATGACCTCATGTGTGCAGTGCCTCAGACCCCCCCAGGCACTGGGGAGAGCTGTATAAAAGGAGCCCTGTGCAGTTCAGTTCCAATCCTCCTGAAGATTCTCCTCCTTATCAGGTGAGATTTTGTCTTTTTTCCTCCTCTCTATCTTCATCTTTTCTTTTATTATTTGCAAGCTGTGTTACTGGCAAGTTTTAGGGTCAAGACCAGGGCTTGGGGCATTGAATTCTGTTATTCTTATTTTCCTATTCCCATCCTGCGAGCAGATTGAAAATATCAGATGGCAGAAGCTTCAAAATGCAAAATTCTCTTGTAGCACTTCAGCTAATACCTAAACCATGGCTGTATACAAAGCCATTTGAGGAGCCAGCTGAGCAAAGAGAATTATACACATAGAAATCTTATTTGTGTTACCTTATAACCTTGTGTTTATCTGACAAAGGAAATCAGCTCTTTACATTTTCCAGCTTTTCCACTTTTTCATTTTCCACGCTCTGTAGAAAAAATGTTATGCCAAGAAATACTTGGACAGAGATATTTCATGGGGTATCTATATTTAACATTGCAAGTATATGAATCATGAGTTCAAATTCATCTTGGGCTCTAATTATTTAGGATTTTACCAGGGGGATAACAGAGATTAAGGGAATGTAGAGTTGAAAGAGAACACTGGAAGTGAATTATCCCAAAGAGCGTAAAACAAAAGAAAAAATACAGAAAAGAAAAGGGAAAAAACAGAGAAGGAGCATGATACCTGCAATTAGAGCAGTGCTGTGTCCATGTCTCCTTTGCATACTTCCCGAGCCCAAACCTGTCTCTATCCCATTCTGTGCAATGAAGAAGTCAGTTCTGGTAGTTTTGAGGCACATTCCCCAGGGAAGAGAACATTTGTGTTTGAGCAAATAAAGTGCTCCTGGCACTCTGCTCCTCCTGGAAGCAGTTAACAAAAAAGCAAACAACCAGCAGCAGCAGTTTCCGAAGGCAGAGGTGGAAGTGACAATTGCAGGGATTGCTGGATGGGGAAGATCAAAGCGGTGCTGATGCACAAGAAAGCCTTTAAGCAGTGTCACCAATTTTGCCTGTGCATCAGCCCGCCATTGGGTTGCTCCCCAACAACCCAGCAGCAAATGCTGTGCTCCAGCACACCTCGTGCTCTGTGTTCACTCAGCCCTCTCTTTCAGAATCACCTCTCTGCCGAGCCATGTCCTGCTACGACCTGTGCCCCACCACCAGCAGCATCGCCTGCCCACAACCCATTGCCAACAGCTGCAATGATGCCTGCGTCCGACAATGCCCCGATTCAACAGCGCTCATCCAGCCACCGCCCGTCGTCGTCACCTTCCCCGGCCCCATCCTCAGCTCCTTCCCCCAGCAAGCCGTGGTGGGCTCCTCTGGAGCACCTGCTTTTGGGGGCTCCCTGGGGCTGGGGGGCCTCTACGGCTCCAGGAGCTCTTATGGCATCGGGAGCTCCTTAGGGTACGGAGCACAGTATGGCTACGGGAGCTCAGCCCTCTCCACGCTCGGCGGTGGGTTCTGCAGCCCCTTCTCTTCTCGTCGCTACAGCAGGATCCTGCGGGGCAGCTGTGGGCCCTGCTAAGGGCAGAAGGGCAGGGGAATCTCGCATGAAGGCCCAAGCAGAGCAATGAGGACGGGGCTTGGTGCACCAGCAGCCCGGTTTCGACTTAGCATTTCTGGTCTTTCATCTGTTTTTGGTTTTCCCTTCAGTTTCTGGGTCGATGTTCACTGTTATCACCTGTTCCAGCTGTCCCAGTTTTGTGGGTAGCACATGCAACGTAAGCATCACTCCTAATGGCATCTTCACCAGGAGCTGCACAGCTGCTGAGAACAAAACCAGCTGAGGACAGCAGTCTCTCATCTCTATGCAGGACATTTGTTGAACATTCTCTGGAACTGTTTGGAAGCAGTTGTTTGTTGTTGTGTTTTTTTTTTTTTTCACATTCTATGATATCTTGCTTTGCAAACAAAGGCATTTCTTTCTCATTAAAGTTTTGTTGCATCACACAGCAGCCTCCTGGTTTCCCTTCCACAGTGTTCTCCCACGGGTAGACCCAAGCTGGTAATTGAAAACTGCTCCTATGAAACACTACATTACGGAGTGAAGCTACACAGTGTCACAACTGTTTCTATAATTACATCCCTGAGGAAGAGCTTTCCCTCCTCTGGAGGCACAAGAGGTTTAAAGTAACGTTGTATCTTAACTCAGGTTATGCAAACGTGATTGCAGTGGGGCCTTTCTGAGAGCATTCAAAGGGATAATCGTAGGTTTCAATGTTAAGCTCAGGGTGAGAATAAATGCCACTGAGGTGTTGCCCAGCAGAGGTATTTCCAAATGTAAATGTGCACCAAAAAAATTCATCCATCAGATGTTCAACCTATAGCACTGCCATTGCTCAGACATCCCCCAGTAGCTGACATCCCTACTTGTGGCCTTTCTGTCCCAGTGAGAAAGGAATAATCGCTGTCCCCTTGAAGAAATAACTGTTGTTCAGTATCAGGAGCAGCAGACACAGAGCTTTAAGCTGCTGGTAATACACCGGGTCAAATTGTAATGAAGCTGCAAATGAGGCATGCTTGGTGCTATGCAAACAAAGAATAAAGCCAAACCCTGCCCTCAAGTGCTTTCAGAGCAAGCAGACAGGACAAGCAGAGCATAAGCAGCACTGCTCTCCCTCCACCACCCTCCGCTTCCTTTTTTTTTTTTCAGATAGACATCTTTGTTGCAGAGATTGAAGGCTGTGCTTTCTGTACTGAGAAAAAAATATTAGGCAACATAGGAATTGCCTGGCAAAGCACAGGACTGAGCTCTCTGCAATGTCCCCATCAGACACTGGGTTTATGGTCTCTTTTGAACTTTCTATACTACTGGTTTACTCTTCATTTCCACTCCCCTCTCCTTTAGGAAAGAGAGAAAAACAGCAGCAGATAAGGAGCACAGAGTGGAGCATTCCTGTCTTGTATACACTGGGATGGGGAGAATTTCTGTAACGTCAGTTCCCATCTCAAAACTCAGATTTGCCTGTCACTTAAGTTGCTGTTCTGGCTGGAGGGTATGAGTACATTATGATGATGTTTAAGGTAGAAAATATCCTGATTACATTTTTTAAAAGATAGAACTGAAAACGAGATAATTAAACTGACACATTTCCATGGCTGCTTTCTTATTTTAGCTGAAAGATACATACAGGACAGAAGAAACTCAGGAGACACAAGACATGACTTATAGTAGAGTTTGTCTTATAAGTAAAAGGGGAGGAAAAACAACAGCAAAAAAAAAATTGCTTCTTCAGATTTCTCTGATCGATCATGGAATCATAGAATCATAGAAAGGCTTGGGTTGGAAGGGACCCCAAGGATCACCAAGTTCCAATCCTCTGACATAAGCAGGGCCATGGCATTGCTACTAGCCCAGGTTGCCCAAGGCCACACACAGCCTGCTCTTGGACACCCCCAGATCATTTCATTTAAAACATCTGAATCTTTTGAGTCCAGATCCTCCAATTGCAAAAGTAGCAAAAGAGTGACTGTAAAGAGGCCAGTAATTGCTCTGGGATTAAAGTCTTGGAGGAAGCTGGCACCCAGCAGGGCACAGTTCTGTCCTGCTGCTATAAGTCAGTGCACCTATGGGACATCAACCAGCGGTGAGAGTCTGAATGTGTGAAAAACCATTAGGCTTGAGTAGGGAGTAGATACACAGTGAATCCATGTATTTAAATCAGATACCAGAGGCTTAGCTCCCACGGGTACCTGCCTTGAATTGTGATGTAGTGCGGAGGAGTATTTATGGACTGTGTTTACAACATCTTCATGAATCAACTTCTAATTGCACCACCTCTGCTGATCGTGTTACCTTGTTCTAGGGTGGGAACACATGTAGATGAGAGTGCAGTGACCTCTATAGTTCAAAGCGAAAGCTGCTGCAAGCTCAGCACAGAGGTGGAGCGAGATGGGCTTAAAAGAGGGTCCGTGCGAAACGAAAACAATCCCACAGAAAAGAGCATCACTTGTAGATATCAATGGCATAGGAATATGATTTGAAAATATCTCGGTGGTTGCCATCATTCTCTGCATACTTATGCAAACGAAGAGTGTTTTTTTGTTTGTTTGTTTGTTTGTTTGTTTTTGACAGAATCCTTGTGATGGAATTATCACCCAGAGCACAAGACAAAGACTTCAGACACATCCTAACAACAGAGAGCTGCTGCCTGGCCATCAATCTGCAGCTTCTTCTCACTCCAGCCTGTTTTACAACCAAAGTCACACCTCTAGTCTCTTTGAAGTTATTGCCACATGCTTCATCCTGCCCAAATGAATTTCTCCAGCATGACTCTGGGCTTTACCTGGAATTAGTCTGATGGAGCAAGGTGAGATTTGTCACCACACTGCATTTCACACAGGCAACAGAAGTGCTGAGCAATGTCTGACCTCTGGTCCATTGGAGCCCAGTTTGGAACTGTGACCACAAGAGCTGCTGGGAGGAGGCAAGTGTTCTTCTCCTCCCCATTCTGTGCGAGCAGGATGCCACCAGATGATGACAGCTGTGCAAAACACAGCTATTAAAAACCAACAGCCTGGAACCCTGTTGCTGTTCAACAGAGGGAAGTGCTGAACGTGCCTGGAATTCACATCCATCTATGAGTAGGTTGGAATTAATGTGCAAGTCTGACATGGAAAATATTAGTTGATTTATATGCATAGGGAAGACTTAAGAATTATTCTCCTACTTGCTTTAGCAAGGACTGCCAAGAATTTAAAGGTACTAATGGGCAACTCCAAGAATTCACAGCGTTTTGGCAAAGACTTGCCATTCAGTTTAAGGCTCTGGATGGCAATTCCAGGGAAAGTTCTACCCGTAGAGTAGAACTATTTTTTAAAAATAGAAAACATCATAAAACCAACATAAGGTATATAATTAAGTCAGAGCCTTGGGCAAGCAGTGAGACAGGAAAGACCTTCAAAATCACTTGCGTTTGTAGCTTTCTTTGCTGGCATGTAGCTAATACACATCATAACCACGCCTTTCCTGCAGGAAGTTTCAGACTTGGTTGTATGAGTTACAAAACATGTTTATTTAGTGTAGAATACTGTTGTGCAGAAGGCACTTCATATGTTGTTAAAGGACCTGGTCATTTTCCAGCTTGAGGTGCTGAAGGAGTGCAGACATATGACTGCCTACAAAGGTTGATACTCAACAAGAATGGTATATAAAGTATGGGGGACCAAAAAAAAAAGACAAATACACTGAGTTTTGATGCAGAAAAATTTAATGAGGGAATAATGATAAGAAGATGGATGGAAAACAAAAAATACAGGTGATACATTGTCAAGTTCTTATTAAAGACTGAAGGCAAAGAATTGTTCCAAGGCTGTGCATTCCACACACGTTACTCTTTAAGAGCAGGGGAAGATTTACATAATCTTGCCCAGCTTTCAACAAGTAAAGATCTTTGATATGTAACTAGGATGTTATTGTATGGAGTCACTGGAGAAAATAATCAGAGAACTAAACTAAATCATTAGCCTGACAGTTGCATGCAAGTGTGGTGTTGACAGATGTACAGTTCATGCCCCAGGAAAACCACACCACCACCAGAGTTTGCAGAAGTGCATCTTCCTCTGTTTTGAGTGATGGCTTCTTTTCCTTTATTCATTGTGCATTTAACACGGTCTGCAGCTCCCAGCACCATAACCACCATACCCATAGGAGGAAAAGGACCTCCCATATCTGTACAGGCCCCTAGAGCCATAGGAGCCCACGGGACCCTGAGAACTCCCATATCCAAATGAGCTCCCAATGCCGGCTGGTGCTGAGCTGCCCACGATGCTCTCCTGAGGGCAGGAGCTGAGGATGGGGCCTGGGAAGGTGATGACCACAGGTGGGGGGTAGACAACAGCACGGGAGTCCCCACAGGAGGTGACACAGGGCTGGCTGCAGGCATCAGCGTAGGGCTGTGGGCAGGTCACCTCACAGGGCGGTTGGCAGCGGGAGCTGATCATCTCTCTGTAGCAAGACATCGTCTAGGAACGGAGATGGATCTGAAACACAATGCCAGGGCAAGAAAAGGATGGAAGATCAGGATGTAGGAATGTCCTTGGTGAGTTCTGCATAGCCTGTGATTGTGGCAGCAACTGCATAAGGCAAGTCATTGGTTTTCCAGCTTTAATGAACTGAGGCTGAGAAATGAATGCATTGTCCAGAGCCATTTGGTGAAGTAACAGGAGGGACAGGGCTAAATGCGGGCAAGCTTGTTGTCAGAAACAGCATTACTCCCAAATCCTGTAGACATTCCTTGCAATTCCCCTCAAATTCTAAATTGTGGAAACTCATAAAATGAACTGAAGAGCAGTAGCAAAGCCCTGACTGTAACAACATAGCATGATGCCTGAAAGGATTCCAATTAACTCAGAAATAATTGCAAATAATGAGACAAAACTGTATGGCTGGAAGTATATTTCTTGCTCAATTTTAGAGCCAGAGTTCACTTGTTATGGTGGTCAATGTGTACAAAAGAAGGCAAATTCCTAAAGGAGGAACGGTCAAGCTGCAGGACACAGGAATTCACTACGTTTCACTATCTCTAAATTCACTTACTCTAAACCTTAAACTGCTCTGAGTATGTTTTTCTTGCCCATTTACAGCCTGATACTACCTGGAAGACAGTCCTCGCCAAAAGAAAGCTTCAACCATTTTTATCATTTCTAAAAATCATAGCTCTGTGCCAGTTCAAATCCAACAGTGCTCTAGAAACATCATAAAAACAGAAGGAAAAAGCCTCAGACTTACCCCTCCTCAGCACGGAGCAGCAATGAGAGTCGGTTGGAGTAGCCCAGCACTGTGAGTGCTTTTATGTTCTTTCTTGGGCAATCGGGAGGATGTGAGACATTCCTCACACGTGACGTCCTAATGCATT